TTTGACAGGATTTCAAATGAGTGGAGATATTTGCGAAGGTAATATGTTTCTTCATACGAGTTTCTTATTTTTTATATTGTAATATATAAGCATCTTCATCAGCCAGGAACGATGTCCTCTTTTGTCAAATTGTCGGATTACATTTTCATGTACCTCTATACGTTAATAAGTTGATTTTATTAATATGAGTTAAGAACTATGGCTTCACTGGCTTGTTGATTGCAATCAATAAAGTGTACCGATATTAGAAAATATTAAGAAAAATAATGTTTAAAATAACATTAAAAAGTACTGAAATTATTTCAATAAATATTGATAACTAACATATCATCGGTTGTACAAAACTCTTACGTATTGTACGATTATAGGAATTCATCTGCTGAGAAAATTAACCTTTTTTTCTTACACATGAAAATTTTCCGACTTTGTCTTAAAACATTACATTTCAATCATGTATTAGTTATTTTATTTATTCAAGTTTAAAGCATTTTTTACCTCAAATATGTCAGTAACCAGATAAAGAAGCCATGATACTGGTGTTTTCATGAAATATTTATGAAATATATCTTTGTTTTTTTACGTGTTACAAAATAAGTTGCCAATGAATTTATCTAATCGATTGCCCAAATTGAAAATTATAAAAAAAATAGAATTTTAAAAGCGCATAAAATGAAAACTTTTAATTTGCTGATAATGTTTACCATGTGGCTAATTTGCTTTATCTTTATGAACTTGTTAATGAATGAAAGTTGTCGTCTCTTTGGCTTCAGCATAAATTAACTATTTAAAAGCGTTCAACTTGAAGATTAATTAACTTCAAGACTTTTACTGATGAGATGAAATTAGATAGTCATGAAACCAGCAAATATCACTTTTGTAAGATTCAATAAAAAGCGGCATAGAGACCGTTGTAAAAGCAAAAGTAATAAAATAACATCATTCATTTCAATTCTGTTGAACTATAACCATAATAATATCGGTTCGGATCGGAATATCCGTCCCGAGGCGACCTGCCCATTGGGCGGTAACGAGGCTAGCCGAGTTACCGCCCATGGGCGGGTGACCGAGGGACTGATATTCCGATCCGAACCGCAAACATATGTCAGATATTTTTTCTTGCATATTCTACCATATTCCATTATACTTTAAATTCTTTATCTTTATTTTCAATGAAAATTTATATCATTACAACCGTAACTACTTTCTTACAACAGCGTATGAATTACAACTTCATTCATAACGGTAAAATGACGTCATCCTAATCGTGCCATTGTACAGCACGCGACTCATCTGGAACCCCCCATGCCAGATGAAATTTCCGGCATGAGTAAAACTAACGGAAACGCCGGTCTGATATGCAAGAATTCAGCTTTCAGCATTTGCACCACGTGATGTTCCTGTAGAAATGTTTATTAGACCAAATCTTATCAATTTAGCCTCGTTTTCTTTTCCAGAGTCCAAAATGTCCATGTCGAAGCCATATCGTATCCCATAAAACATCTGGATTTTTTTTTAATTTTACAGTCCAAAAATCTTTATCAAATGTATATCTTACTTTATCAAGCCTCGTTTTCATTTTATAGAGTTTAAAAGTCTATATATCAAATCCTTATTGTAATTGAAGTAACAAAATTCTGTCATTAGGTCATAAATGGTTGTTAGATTAAGAGGTTATAAATATTGTTGAGAATAATAGTGTTTCCATTGGACTCGTACACAGCTGCAAAACTTACATCACACTCGGCGTATGCCTCGTTTAATATAGTTTTGAGAGCTGTGCACTCGTCCAATAAAGTTCAGTTTTATACTTAACAATGTGCAATAACCTCATATTACATTAAAATGATATTTTGAATTCCGAATTTAAAACATTTGTGTTTTTACATGATATACTGTATCGAAAATACTAATTGTACCATCAAATGTTATACTAGATGTTGACGAATGCCTGCCCAGTGTTCAACCATGTGACCATCTATGCAATAATACTGCTGGTAGTTTTGTATGTAGTTGTAAAACAGGGTTCCAGTTACAAGATGATAAAGTTACATGCGAAGGTAACATTTTATAGTGTACTGTTCATTTCAAAGTCTATAATTATAACTTTATTCTTTTATTATAAGTAAATAAGAACTGTCGCTTCCAACAGATGCGTTGTGAATATTTACAAGTCATATACATGTACATGTATATTTCAAACTGTAGCAATATGAATTACCGATATTCTTAACAAAGATTCTTCTTCGGTACTTATGTTCATCTCAATGCCGATAGGTACATTATATAAAGGTTTTATATCATACAAATATGTAAAGTAAAGAATGTATGAAAGTTTTCATATTTGTAAAGTAAGGCGATTCAGTGCTTTATTATTAAAATATAATTTCTTTGATCTGTAAGAGAATTAAATATTTGAGTTACAACTTACAATATCTAATTGATTTCTTATTTGCTTTCAGAGAGTTCAAGAACAGCTGCTTTTCCAGGTAGATTGGATTTTGTACACAAGTTAACCATGAAACTGTTGAGCACATTTGAAATACATAGCTTAAAGTAATCACTAAAATAATGTAAATAAAAGCGCAAAAAAAACATAAAAAGAAACTAATAACCTGCACCCAATTCGAGAAAAAAATTCATGTTCTGGTTTCAAATGTTATTTATCCTAGATCTACTTCATCATTGCAGGAAATTCGTTTAAGCATTCACTCACATTAAACATGGATCTCCCAGCTGATACCAATCTTCAAACCGCTGCCACTTACAACGCCCTTGAAATGGAGATAATTTCTACAGTTAGTTGTTTTCTATGAAACGCGTCACCGTCTTTCTGTTCAAATGTCAATTTTTCAACATATTTAATAAATACATTTGTTATGTGTGTATATTGAAAATTGTTGATGATGGTTATTTAATAAATAGGATAAGCTATTTTCCTCAAAGACAAAAATGAAAATCAAAATTACAAAATGAAATGCATTCCTAAAGTTTATGACAATCACAAAATATTAAATAATTTTCTAAGATGCAATTATAACATTATAGTCATACAATAATGGAACACAGTTATAAAATAATGGAATACTGCGTAAATGATTTATATCTTGTTTTTTTTTATGTATAAACTCACTCATTATATGTTTCAGCTCTTGGACTTTTACAAGAAATATATTTCTGGTTTGATTGAAATCATAATAAATGATATAAGGTTAGTTTTATTATGTACAAACTTACCGCCTCGTCGTTTTCAGCACTTTCTGCAGTTCTTCCCTTTTATTCTTGTTAAACTGCTTTACATTCCTTATAAAATTGTGTGAGACATTCTATTTTTTCTAAATCCTCATTATTTTTGCTACAATAGTATTTCTATGAATTTAAGAATTTATTTAATAAATGTCCAAATTGTTTAATTTCTCTTTAGGTAACGTCTTTTTTATTATATTAAATAATTATGTCTTTATCCCTACGTTAACGAGCTGGAATAAAAATTAAGTACATATTTGCTACAATGTTCAAAATGTATTTGACATTTCAGAGTGTTAAGTCCCTTTCTTTATAATGAATCATGATATTTACCCTTTATTTTCATCGTTACAGTATCTTATAATTTCATTAGTCGACGAAGTATTTCATTATGTGTTATTGTTTCATGCTTTTATTAAACTAGCTATGTTAATTCTGTACGAAAATAAAATTATGCATACTGATGTACTTATCACTTTTATTGATTTGTGGGGCTTCATTCTTTTGACTTTTACACAGTGCATGTTAAACTATTCATCTTTTAAAACAGAAAGTCTTTAATATATTTTAAGTCATTTTGATTCAAGCATATTTACCTATTATTCGAATCATTGTTTAAGGAATGGAAGTATTATCGTAGATTATACTGTTGTGTACGTTGAACCCAACGAGAACGATGCTGCAAATTTAACTAAAGCTGTGCTTGATTTAGAACAGGGTACACAATTAACAGTGTATGGACAAAATGTCAGTGTTACGTCAAGTAAGTTTTTTGTCGTTAAACAGGGTACACAATAATCAGTGTATGGACAATGTGTCAAATATTTATCGAGTCAGTTTTCTCAGTAACCTTGCAACATCATTATTCCTTGAAAACAGCATTAAGTCATGAATAGGGACAATTAGACACGAGTAATACCAACAAGCGTTGTAAATACTGTATTTTTAACTTTTCGGTGCATATTTTGATATCTTAAGGTATGACTTTGCTAAAGCATTACCTCCGCGATGAAGAGTATTCAAATAGGGCATACCTGTTAACTACATTGAAACTTTGAGTCATGGATTCAAACCCCAGAAGGGTCAACTTTTTTTTCTTTCTTTTTCTTTAAACTTTATTTTTGTATCTTTCATATCCCTTTGGGAAGAAAAAGCGTTTTATTTTAATAATCTCATTAATATAGGTATTTATTGAGTAAATAACGCTAAATCTAATAACAAATATGGTGCCTGATATTTTCAAATTATAATAAAATCAAATCATCAAATCTAGACGGTAAAAGTATTTAGATAAATTGTACTATTTGTTTCTTACACAAAATTTATGGGAAAACATTTTTCATAAGGATGAAATTGTGTATTATCAAAAGATTCATTATTTCTGAAAAAGGGCTGTTCTATCGTCCCAGCTTCTTTTCATAAAAGTGGCAACTACTCGATTTCCGTACGGTATAGTGTATTTAAATTTTGCATACATGTGTCTTTGATGGTATGTATCTGACCTATGTAGTCAATTGTCCAGTTCCGTATAGTACCCGTTACAGTGGTCATACCTTAAGACAATTTTATGGATAAAAATGCAATATTCATTTCTATGAAAATAACTTATTCATTTTAAATTTGTGAAACATGCATGTAACGAGTTTGATAACGTTGAAAATTTATTACCACTTATAACACTATTCTATTGTTTCTTTTAGGCGATGTATATGGATTTGAAACCATGTGAAACTGTACAGTGTGACTGGTCGGCAGTTTTGTAAACAAGGCTACCATTGCACAGTTGAAATAATATTCCTATTTGCAGGTACATGTCATTTTATTTAATTTACTTATAAAGTTATTTGGTAAAATGTTTGATAAGTCACATGTTAAAAAAATTTCTTTTCAAAAAAGTTGTCATTGACTTAGTAATATTATGAAATCAATAATTTGTTTTTGTTCTCAATAGTCTTTTTGTTTTCTTTCTTTCTTTTTTCGGATTTTCTACATATTTTGCATTTTTAAACACCAATTTCACGTAGAAATAATAAGAGATAAATCATAAACAATGAAGATAATAGCTATAAATTGTACCCTTACAGGCAGAGTTTTGAAGATAATGAGGGTAAGTAAATGTATTCCAGCAAATTTGCTCATTTGTCGAGTAATTGTTTATTGATAATTCAGACAATTGTGTACTTGTTCAACATTTACAGATTTATATCTGACATATTGTTGTAAGCTGATATTTTATGTTGTCACTTTAATAAGTGAGAGGTTATGCTGTATTCATAGGCTATTAACTTATATCTCCCAGAAGTTTGTTACGTGACACCAAATATTTAAGTTACCAAAGAAGTATTAATTCAAGTAATAAACTATATCTACATCTGGAAATAAGTTAAGCAACCCTGGAAATTTAAAATTGGTTGTAATTGAAAGCACCGTCATGAGATGACGACGTAATTGAACTTAGAAATAGTAATTTGAAGTGTGTTTAACTTATTTCCAGGTGTATATATATATATTCTGGAACCACTGTTTATATTTACATAAAAAAAAATCGGAAATAAATTTTATCAATTACTGTCTGATTAGTCACTTTTTAATTAAAAGGAAACTGGCCGTTTGTCATTGGATTATCTTGTGCTGGACTATTTGTTATGATTACGGCTGTAGTAATTGTGAGACACCTGTTGAGAAAACATAAAATGAAGGAAGTTGACACTAAAGGTAGTATGTAACTTTTATTTTATGTTTCACTTTGATGTTTATCAATTTGTGTCTGATTAGAACTAAGCAATTTTGTACGTAAAATTTATTAACGTACCATTTACAGTTAAAATATGCGATGTTAATGTGAAGACTAACATAAAGATTATAAAACTAAATTGGTGAAATAAATAATATTAATTATTATAGAGGTCAAAACAAGCTACGTATTATCATAATATACATGGATATATCTCGAATTTGACAATGTACAACAAGGACAAAAGGGTAACATTACATTGTTCTTGTTCATAGCTTGACAATTAAAGCACAAAACTGTATAAATATAGTTGAAAATTACCTGAAATGTCAGGGATCTTTGTTTATATTTAATTGTTATTGTGTCATAAGAATCACTTTTTAAGTATGAGCATATATAATTAAATAGGTCTGGCTTCGGTTACACCCTCAAATTGAAACCTCGTAAATCGGATCTTCTCACAGAACCAGCGATGTTTAGACAAAGTGAAAGCGAATTTGGGGTACTTACCTTACTTTATTAGTCACGGTATAACAAAGCAACTCATTCTAATATTTGATCTATGCATGGTGTATTGCATTAATAGAAGTGTTTTTTGTACATTGCTGGGGTCATAGAGAGAAGACTGGACTTACCACCTGTGTTGCCTCATTAAAGTCTTTACTTACTTGCTTACCTACTCAGTTACTAACACTCTGGCGAACCAAAAGTCTTATTATTTATTAAACATACGGTTTACCTGATTAATGTTTAAATGCATTCATTCCTTTTTAAAATAGTTATTTTTAGTTCGACTATACGAAGTATATGGAGAGCTGTGCTACTCAACCTGGCGTCAAAGTCCGCGTCCATATATCAGATTAAAGTTTTGGGCAGTAAAATAGTTTCTTCTTTAATTGTTTTATTTTGTTAAGGTATAGACTTCAAACTTCCAATATAATGTACCTTATCATCAACCACATCTTATGTGATAAGGTTCGTTACTCTGGAAACAATATTTTAATAATTATCTCCCCTTGAACTGAGAATGTTCTTTAATAAAACGTTTTTTTTTTACTCTTTCTTTCTTTTATGTCTGAAGGGATCAATTTCAAACATCAAATATATTTTTCAAATATATGTTTTATCTGCAACCACATAATATGTGACAAGGTTTAATAAACTATTGCTACAATATTTCCAGAATTATCTCCCCATGAACATAGATTTTTCCTTAAAAAATGATATTTTTACTATAACTTTTTTTTATTTCTTAAGGTATCTACTTCAGACTTCAAGCATGTGTTTCCATATCATCACCCACATGACGTATGACAAGATTCATAACTCTAGAATACATTTCTTTCAGAGTGATCCGTCCTTAAACTTAGAATTTATGTTTAAAATGCCATGTTTTTACTAGAACTTTTTCATTTCTTAAGGTATGTACTTCAAACTTCAAATACATGCACCATTTTATCAGTTACACCTTTTATGACAAGGTTCCTTACTCCACAAGCAATATTTTCAGAATTATCTCCACTTGAACCGATACATTCTCTATATATATAAGTAATAATTTATTATATCTCTATCATATTTTGATTATTCATTTTCACCGATATATGTGTCGAGATAATTCAAGAATGAATACAAAATGTATTTCCAGAATTATTTCCCCTTGAACTTGGAATTTCTTTTATAAAAAATGTTATTTTTAGCTCTAACTTCTTTATTTTTCACAATTTAAATTTCAATTAACTCCCATTTAATATTGAAAAATAATATGCGTCAATATTTTATAAATTATCTTTTTTTTCCTTTTTTGTTCTGTAACTTTTTTATTTCATCAGACTTCAGAATTATTTGTCATGTGTAATAAGATTTGTACATGTTACTGTTTTTCCATAATTATCTCAAAACTTGAAATTTATTTGAAAATTGTTGTATTTTTTATTGTTAATTGTATATACTCTAGACTTTAGATATTGATCTTTGTCAGTACTCACATAATGCATGACAAGTAATAGCTATAACATCTTTATTTCAAGAGTAATTTCCTCTTTGAACTTGTCATTTTACTTTTAGGAAACTTTATATACTTCTTGCTATTATCATAATTGTTATTGACGAGAATGACTTCAGATTTCAATTTTTTGTATTTTCTAAGCAAAGAATTGAAAGGTTAAACTTTTAATGACATGGTAGCAAGTATGTATTATGGAGCAAATGTATTAAACATTTGAGTGCTTTCTTGATACTGAAAATAACTATATTTTAGTCAGAGTTGATTTTTTCCCATACTTTTGTCTTCCTTTACTGCGTCCAGTATTTAATTAGTCAAGCGTTGCTGTATACTCTTGACAGCTCTTGCTATATATTAAAAAAGTGTGGTTACCAAATTTGGTAAACTAAATGCAATTTATATCGTGAGAACGAATGTTATTGAACTATGAATATTTCTATAACTTTAAATAACATACGTTATCATATAACTCTTGGCTTTAAAAAATCGTCCATATATTAGAGTATGGCTACATGTCATAGCAATTTACGTTAGATATAAGTTCAGCTAATGTTTAAAAAGTTGAATATGTTTCATTCATTGCAGTACAACGAACAGTCTGATGCACCAAATGAGACACCAACATACGGTATTGTTGACAACGACGACATCAAATTCTAGATATTCTAGATATTAACAGAACGAAACACGCACCGAGTTAAATCATACACGTCGTGGAATTCGTTGCTAAATCGCAACTTTACGATGACAGAACGTTGTTGTCTATATGTTATGAATTGCTTTGTTTAAAGCGCATTAAGCCTTTTCTGTTTTAGAAAATTACACATTTTTTTATGATATTTTAATGATTGATTAGATCATATTCGGTTTTATCATTTGAATAAAATAGCGCTGAATAAGGAATAATTTGTCATAAAAGTAGCAAAATGCAAAAATGTGGTGACTTTGATACACAAAACTTAAACCCTTTTATTGTACAGATGTTAAAATGAAACGATAGTTCTGGTAAATGACCAATTAGTAACGTTTTGGAAGCTACAAAGGAACACTTAATTCTTCTAAAAAATAGGCATATATGCATGTTTACTTTTTATTCTTTACCTAAATCTAGAGTGCGCTTACTGGCAATAATGGAAAAGTATGTTGAAAGAAATATTGACATATTTTGTACATACTACTTGTTTTAGGGAATTTTTCCCGCTCTTAAACTTATGCTTTATCATATTAATGTTTGTGTTTGTATGTTAGTGCTGTATTTTTCACAATTCCGTACCGAGATAAGCACATTAATTTCATTGCTTTGACTTTTCAGTGTCTTTTTTACATTATTTATATAAAAAATTGTATATCAAATTAGTGTTGCTTCAAAACTTAATGTATTAAACTCATTAAAATAATCTTATACTTTCAGTCAACTCGTTTAGTGAACTCAGATTCAAAACTGCCTTCAGTTAACATCCTCCATGCGTAAAATGTCTTAACGTTTTACCCCATAAGCATATTGTGAAAAATGACCGTTTCATTGAAAAGCCTCCTGTTACAAGTTCAAACTGCTATGAAACTATGAAAAATGCTTCAATACTGATGAAACTTGGCACAAATGTTGACTGGACAATAAACTCTGTAAAAACATGCTCAATCGTAAATTTCTTGTATCCAAGGTAACCAGGGACTTCCGAAATTGCGGAAAATCACTTTTTGCATCGTTTTTTTTTATATAAACTGATTTTAAAGTGCTGCAACTTCTCAATGGATTGAGATAGAGTAAAAGGCTTTTCAGCGTTGTTTACTAGTTACCCTAAGATTGACATGAGGCCATTTTCAGCCTGTCACATGTCCAAAATTTTCTTGGGAGACTGCTGCCCCCATTTCCCCCATACAGAAGGGTGCACATCCCCCTTCTCGCAACCCCTTCATGTACCATTTTGATGGGGAGCGACGCCGAAAATGTGATCACTTTTTTAACAATATTTCTCAAACAAATAACAGTGTTTGGGGCCTAAATAGGGTATATGTTCACTGTTTGAGGCCTCAAAAAAGGGGGGGGGGGACAAAAAGCCACCAAAACACGTCTATATAAGGTAAAAGGTTAATAGTTACGGCTATTGAATTATTTTTAATGACGATTTTAAAGTCAGAAACTGTGTTGTCGATATTTGTACAAAATATATGATTTTTTCCCCACAAAATTTGTATACTTTGTCAAAAGGTCCGTGATGATGAAATCGGTTAAATGAACTGTATTTCTTCAATATCCTGCATGTTTAACTGTGAAAGGACAAACGTACTTTGGAATAGTGTAAATACTATAAAGAATCTTAAGTAATACTCAAAACCCCTCATAAACGTTGGGAAACGGCGAAAATATATTCGAAACCTAAATAAACTTGGACACTAAACATAGTTTACAATTAAGTTTGTCCCAATTTGCATGATACTGATTGAATATTATAAACAGTGTTAATATCTAGTTATATTATAGCCTTGTCCTGAATCTGAATTGGTTCAAAAATTGGCTATCTGAAACAAAAGCAGAAAGTGCATTCGTATATATACTGTCAAATGTGAATGAGTATAATCAAATGTTTGTCTGTTTTAAGAGTATGCGTAATTTTATTATACATGTGACATCACCACTTAAAATGAGACGGAAAAACATCTAGGGCAATTTAGCTTAATATCAGGTATGACCGCATTTATATGTTAATGTTCTGTAAGAATCGAAATAATATATCTAAATCGGTGATTTTATAGTTTGATAAAATCACTGTTTGTCGTTCGTATGCGCATCATATTCTCACTCCGGCTACGCCCCTCGTGATATAATTCCTCGCATCCGAACTCAAAACAGTGATTTTATTGAGCGATAAAATTACAGTTTGGGATATATTATTTCTTAATTATAGATTCATAAATAAATGGGATACCCGTCCCAGGTTACGGGCACAGCCCGCCTCCGAATTCTCCATTCGGTGTTGGACTTCAACAGCCGCCGTGGATAGAAATTATGGAAGACCTAAGAGACATCAAATCCAAAATGAAACCCTTGGAAAAAAATAGACAAAATAGAAAAAACCTGTTAATTTATTTAGTCTAAAACTTTCCGACCTTGAAATCAAAGTGAAAGATATTGTGACAGAAACAGAAATCGCAACCTCGTATATCGGGGATAAGTTCAAAAAAAATAATAATGATTTGATCGAAGCAAAAAAGCAGATTAAAACATTTAAACAGTCTTGTTCAACATTTGAAGAAAAACTCAAAACAATGGCCGACAACAAAGCAAACACTGAGAAAAAGGTACTTGATCTTGAAATGAAATCAATGAAGGACAACCTTGTGTTCTATGGTATACCAGAAGTACCGGCTGATAGACCGGAAGACTGCCAAAAGATCGTTCAAGACATTATCCATAAACATCTAGAAATCACAGAGGACCTCCTTATGGATAATGCATACAGCCCTTTTCGTCGAAACGCGTCCCGGGAACCTCGCCCTATAATAGCTACGTTTCACTATAACAGGCAACGTGAGCTAGTGCGTAAAAATCATTTGAGAAGAATACTTCCCTGAAGGTAGCTAACATTGGCATAGGGGCTCAACTCCCTAAAGAGGTTCGAGATGCACGCAAACCCTTGTATGGCGTAATGCGACAGGCAAAAAATGCTGAGAAAAACGTTAAATTTATCGGTAAGGAGCTTTTTATCAATGGACGACCGTACACTTCAGCGACCCATGAGCACATGGACTCCATTTAGGGTGGGTCAAGAGCTAGCCCTTAGCGTAGGAGCATGGAATATCAACGGATTAAAACGGAAGTTAGGGGATCATGACTTTATTGACTATGTCAAGTGTTTTTGACATTATCTTTTTAGTGAGACGTGGATTTCTAGTGAAAATAGAACAAATCTAAACATTGATAGTTTTGAGAGTAATCATTTATATGGAGTTAAATCGAAACACAAAAAACTGGACGTTTTTCGGGAGGTATTTCTCTATATTATAAAACATATCTTTAAGATAAAATAAGTATAATTGAAAAAAAAACATCAATTGACTATTTTGGATAAAATTAGATAGAACTCTTTTTTTAAAGAAATTTAAGTTTAATGTATAATTTTTTACAGTGAAAAGTGTGAAAATGGATAGCATGACCAATTAAAATGATTATTTTTTCAAACTAGCCTGGTAGACTTTCTTTATCAAACACGTGTTAAGAATAGTTTCTATATAATCATAATTTAAAATATTTTGATGCCCCGATTACATTTGACAAAATCCGACGGATTTTCTTACCACATACTCTTCTGATTTGATGTAATATGGCAGGTATCTATCTCAATAAACAAACAAGAGGGCCAAGATGGCCCTAGCTCGCTCACTTTTTAGCTCCTGTGACCTAGTTTTGCAGCCGATATGACCCATGTTCAAACGCGTCCGAGAAATTACCTAGACAAGCATCCTGACAAAGTTTGATGATGATTGAGGAAAAAAAATGGGACATTTAGAGTGTTAAACAAGTGTAGATGGATGACGGCCATATTTGAGCTGTGTGACCTAATTTATGACCCTAGGTGAGCCATATTCGACCTTGACCTAGACATCATCAAAACAAACTTTCAGACCAATTTTCAGGATATTTGAATCAAAACAGTAGCCACTAGAGTGTTAACAAGATTTTCTTTCTATTTTTAGCTCGCTCCTGTGACCTAGTTTTTCATTCGAAATGACCTATGTTCGAAGTTCTCCGAGCAATTATCTATTCAAGCATCCTGAACACGTTTAATGATAATTGAGTCAAAAATGTAACCACTACAGTGTTAACAATGTTTTCCATATAAGTGCGGTGTGACCTTGTTTTTTACCAAAGGTAACCCACATTCGAACTTGACCTAGAAATCATTAAAACAAACTTTTAGACCAATTTCCAGGATTTTTGGATTAAAACAGTTGCCACTAGAGTGTTAACAAGATTTTTATATTTTTAGCTCCTGAGACCTAGTTTTTCATCTGAGATGACCCATGTTCGGGCACATCCGAGCCATTGCCTGGACAAGCATCCTGACCAAGATTTATGATAATTGAGTAACTAGAGTGTTAACAAGAGTTTTTCTATTTAAAGCTCCTGTGACCTAGTTTTTCATCCGAAATGACCCATGTTCAAACACATTTGAGCAATTACCTAGACAAGCATCCTGACCAAGTTTCATGATAATTGGGTCAAAAATGTGACCACTAGAGTATTAACAAGGTTTTTCTACTTTTAGCTCCTGTGACCTAGTTTTTCAGCCGAGATGACCCATTTTCAAACTCATGCGAGCTATTACCCAGACAAGCATCCTGACTAAATTTGAAAATGACTGAGACAAAAATGGGACCGCTAGAGTGTAAAAGAACAAGTGTGTACGGACGACGGCCATATTTGAGCAGTGTGACCTAGTTTTTGACCCCAGGTAACCCATATTCGGACCTGACTTAGAAATCATCAAAACAAACTTTTATACTTATTTCCAGGCTATTTGAATCAAAACAGTAGCGCCTAAAGTGTTAACAAGATTTTTCTCTTTTAAGCTCCTTTCACCTAGTTTTTCATCCGAGATGACCCATGTTTAGAGTTATCCGAGCAATTACCTAGACAAGCATCCTGACCAA